CATATAAGGAAACAAATCATTTTAAATGCAAATTACAGTGAAAAAAAATATCCTGCTTTTGCCAAGTTACAGGTAAAAATCACAGAAATTGGAAAATAAAGCAAACATTAAATTACCAACAGCACTTCACAGTAGTGATATATTTATGTTGGTGTTCAGCTTTAGAAAGTAAAAATATTCTCAGGTCAGATTTTACTCACATATGAGCATGATTCTGTTGTTTGTCCCTGAAATTACCCGATAAACCAGAACTGTACATGTCACTGAAGATGAGTCAGTTCTCTTCATGATTTGATTTTCAGGTACTCGCCCAACAGAAACTGCATCTCAGCATCTGCAGCCCGGCTCTCTGCTGTTACTCCCCTGTTGCATCAGTGTAGTTTTGACACAACTGAAATTTCTTTTTACTGTCCTCCAATTGTGACTCAGCAGTAAAACTAAACGGTTCACGCTTTTTCTCCCTGTGCAACATTTAAATTGCAGCTTGCAAGATTTCCACAATTTATTTCTGAAACAATGCACAATGGAAACATCAATCAAGGATCTAGTAAGGATGGATATTTATCTGCAGACAGTTGCAGTTAACAAAAAGACTCCTTAATTAATCCATTTCCTTTTCTCAGCAGTTCATAATTCATAATACTTACATCCATCTCAAATGTAAATCTTAAGAGCGATCATAAGATAAGCAAAAACTCTTGAAGTATCCAGCAACAAAGAACACTGCTCAGTATCAGGAGATGTGACAAGCTACAGATCATTATAAGAGAGTCATGTGACTATTTCAATCAACTCCAAAGTGATTGCGTCAGTAAAGTCATTCTGATGTCATACAGGAAAGACATTTATTGACTGCATCCAACCTAACTGCAGGATTCATGTGTGTCCATACAGATGGAAGTCGTCTCACCTTCTGTTTTGTTCTTTTTAAAAACGGACCAAGTTTTTTCTGTTCAATACATTTTCCAGTTTCATTAAAGATCTGACCTTCTGATTATTTTTCCCCCCCAGACTACTAAAACGAATAAAATAAAATATCCTGCAGGTTATTTGATAAAGTTGTGAAATCAACAGAAAATGAAGATACAAAATTAGTTAATTGCTTTGTTTCTTCCGTTCATTATTTTGTTTTCCTTTGTTTTTTACTCTTTGCTTCTTTGTCTTTTGTATGCAAGGATGTATTTATTGCCAACCTTAAAATAATTAAAATTAAACTAAGAGAGTGAATTGTAGAAAATACTGATCAACTGAAACAATGAATATACTAGGGAGTTCCCAGATGTGATATATTTTGTAGATAAAGAGAAAAGGTTTGATATGTCAGTATTTATTCATTTAGAGACAATCAACGAAAAAAAAAACAAAAAAAAAAAAAACATTTCTGCACCTGGATTCCTTAAAAACAAAAAAGTTACAAGTTATGGTAAATATACTATTAGTCAGATTTACATTTAAAGTAATCTTTCTATTTAGTTAACATGTTTCTTCTGACCAGAACATTAATGTTTTACAGCAGCCCAACCAGAGTCCTGGCTTGAATCCAGTACAAAAAAAATCTGTAGAGGGAGCTAAGGTGATGTGATGGCAAGGAGGCCTCCTAACCTCAAAGCTTTGTAGTCCAATACCAAGATAAATGGTCAAAAATGCATAGAAGAAACATCTCAGCAACTACACAAGTGTCCATAGATGACAGAGAATGGTGTTAATAATTTTGAATTAGATAAAGAAAAAAACTTGTTTGTATTTTTACCAGAATGAGTTAAAGTAGCATCTTCAAGAGATGTTATTTTGACACAAATTGTAAGTTATTACAGCAACCCAAAATACGATTCTCCTGAGAAATCATCAACTTTTCTTTGCAGGCAATTAGATGCCAGAATAGGATTAACATGAAACCCTCCCTAACCTTTTGTCTGATCATTAAGCAACTGTAAAAATCCTTCAATCTGCTTCTAAAATCCTCCTAATGCATTGAATGTCTGGCTTCACAAACTCTATATAAGGTTAATTAAACCTTTGCTTTCCTTCCGCTGTTGACGACGTTCAGCTGACGTTAAAAAACACCGAGCAGTCAGCTGACAAACTCCAACGTGGAAAGCAACAAAACGTTTTAACAACGACCAAAATCACTGGAGAGCAGCTTTCAGCAGACCCGCGTGGAAAAACCAATATTCACAGGATGCCAAAGAATGGTTGCCACCAACAAAAACCCTTTACTGCTGTGCTCATACCGCCAAAGTTTCCGCCTTATCTCTTTTTAATCCAAACACTCGGCTGGACGGATATTTATACCTCAGATGCAACTTCCTATACCAGTTCCGCACAGCAGAGTATTAATATATGCAGAATAATCACACGAAAACAATCGCTGGTAATCCCATATGAAACAGTCCCTGCAGGCAAACAGCTTCGTGCTACAATGCGACTATGTGTTATGTTTGTAGCTAGCTAGCTGCACATAAGCTAAATTGTGCTTTATGTATCAAACAGAACTAATTTGTGTTTTAACGTCGCATGAAGTGCTTATTCGTAATTTAAATCACACGGTTTTCCATCGAGCTGACTCACCTCCTCGCTGTTGCTGGAGTCGAAACCCACATCCTTCCGCCGACCGTACTTCTCAGCCACCCCCAGCAGCCGCAGCAGGGACGGATCCTCGCCGAACGCAAGGCCGGTGTTGACGGGCCTCGGCCCGGCTGCGACCAGCTCTCCGTAGTCCGAGCCCAATCTTCCGCGTCTCGTCCGTTTTTCAGAGCGCAGCCTGCTGCGACCCGTTAACGGCCGACCTGGGAAGCGAGCCCGGGCCGGCGGTGCCTGAGAACTCAGTCCAGCGGTAGTGGAAGGAGAGGATAAACCGCCTCCCGAGGCCGCCATTATATTTACTACAACAACGGAAGACAGTGCGCGGGCAGAAGATCACTGCAGCGGTGCGCGAGGCAAGATGGGTCTGCTCGATGCAAAGGCGCGAGATAGGTGCATCATGGGTAGACGAACGTCGCCGGAGCTGCTCGACGTTCGACGACGTGAGCGACTTCGCTTTTAAAATGAGTGTTTGGTGTTTTGTTGTTGTTTTTTTACTTGTGTGACAAATTTAAAATAATAGAAATAGCATTTACTTAAATAAAGGCTTAGAACTTTTACTTCTACTAAAAATGCTAGCATATGTTTGAGCTTCATATTTTTTTTTAAATGCAGGTCACAATTTTTTTTAATTTATTTGTTTATTTATTTATGTATCTATTTATTTATCAAGTTTATTTGATACAGACAGACACACAGTCCCATTGACAAATTGTATTATAGTGACCTCATAATTTTTTAAGACACTACAACGAAATAGAATGGTAGTAAAATAATAAAATAATTAAAGGTGATATAAACATACAAACAAAGTCATACATATTAAAACATAACAATGAAACATTTTAAACATGAATGCATTGCTGTTGACACAACTAGAGTTTGGTTTGCTTTTTAAACATATTGAAAATAGTCATAGACTTTGAATTAATAGGGACTGAATTCCACATTGTGGAAATTAAATTATTTTGAAACGTTTCCATCCAGGTTTACTTAAACACTGGTCTTAATTGGTCTAAATCTCTTACTTAGGTGTAGCAGAAAAAAGTAATAGTAATTTAAGCTTGTATGGGGTACAGGTTCCACCCATATTAATAGATATCAGTTTGAAACATTTTGTTATAAATGCATTGATGGGATTTTTATTTAGTGAAAGCAAGCAAGGAAGAATATTAGTTTAGCCAAATTATTAACATGCACCTTTAACCAATATGGGAAAGCTTAAATGAAAATGTCATGACTTTTAAGACAACACCTCATAATATTTCTAGGTGCAGCATTTCAAATACCTCAAGATTACAGACATTTATTTGTTCAAACTCTGGATTTGCAAGTATGGAAACCATAGGAATGTCAAGCCACCATGCTATTAATTAAGGTTGGGTCTTTAAGGTTTGAACATGTTAAAGTGCAACATGTGTGAATCAACCTAGAAACAAAAGAACAGACTTTGTAAAGACGCTGGAATGAGTGAAATACGTTCTGTACCAATAAGAGCTCAAATAAGGACCTTCATTGAGAAAGAAGCCATTACGTAATAAAAATAAACAAAACACAAATTTGGTTGTAAATCTACTGGGAAGACAGTAGCGATGACCTGGCGAGCTCATGAAACTAAAATTGGTGTCTTATGCCATACTTAAAGAAAATAAGCCCACAAGCCAAATTGCACCATGCCCATGGTATCATGCCTAGTTTCAAAAAGGAGTGGTGTGCTTCGCTAAATAGTTTGCATCATAAGGAATTAACTGACATTAAGGCAAACACCAATTACTTTGATGCAGAAACAGAAAGACAAAAAAAAAAACACTTGCCAGTGCAGAGTTCTATAAATTGAGCAGTTTTTTTTTTAATATATTTTATTATGGTTATGTTATGAGATACAGTGCCAATGCCACGTTTACACATTTTGCTAAAATCAAGTACTAAACTACAAAGTATTTCCCACAACCCAAAGAAGAATCACTTTGCTATTTCACTATCAATATTAAACTTTTAGGATAAAACAAAGGCAACATGAACAATGATTTTTGTCAGATTGTTACTTTGTAAAAATAAATCCTGATTATTTACACACAGAAGGGCAGGTTTTCAGTGTAGGATATTTTGTTAAACAGGTTTCATACACTTTTCCAACAATAAAATTCAAGCACTTTTCAGGCATTTTCAAGATAAGCTTTCAAACTTTTCCAACTAAACAATACAAATGAATAAAAGACAGTTCCAATTCACTATTATATGGCATCATTTATTACTGTTACGAGTAATGTTTTGTGATAGTATCCTTTATGTAAGGGACAAAATAAATTTAACTCACAAAATTTTGTTTTGAAAAGTCTTTCTCAGACATCTGATTGGTCTGAGAACAAAACACAAATTTAAGAAAATAAATCCCCCAATTTCAAGAATTTTAACACAAACAAAATCAAAAATTTATTTCAATTATTGAGCCATTATGAGTAACAATTATTTATTACATTGAACACATTGGTTTGCCCAAATTAAATGCTGAGACACGACATAAATAATCACTTGACTTTCAGTTAAGGAGTCTTTTCTCTGAAATGTTTATTACAAAATTGCGAATAGAATCTTAAGCACTTTTAAGGGTTTTTAAATTTTTTTTACAGAAACGAAGCACTTTCCGAACCTTGAAAACCCTTCAGGGTTTCCCCCAATGTATTATAAGAATGGTGGGCCACCAGGCTTTGTTTGTGCCCCCACTAGGCTAAGCATTGCTTATGTTTAAGTGTTTTTAAAATGTTTAGATTTTTTAAGATTTTATAGTTGGTGTTCAGATATTAATCTTCCAGTCTTTTAATAACACATCAAGTGATGCTTTCAAATTTATTGTCAAGTTTAAACATTTTTTAAACTCAAAAGCACGATGGGATGCTGGATGAATGACTGTCCTAGAGCCCAACCACCAGGCTTAGCAAGTTTTCAGGGGGAAACCTTCACATAATTGAAATTCAAGCATTTTCAAAGATTTCAAGTACTTGTACAAACCCAGGTTAAAAGGAAAAAATAAATAACATTCCTGAAACAATTGGCAATGTGGTGGATAATTCTGCTTCATAAACTTATTCTAAAATATCATGCTGAAATCCTTCACCAAGCAACATGAATGACCTGATGATGCGACACCAAAGGAGGAAGTTTTCTCCTTCTGTATCATCTCTTTTCAACAGCCTTCTCTGTCTTAATATGGGAGGTTTGATGAGCCTTTAGAGCACTTTCTCTTCCAAAGCTCTTCCCGCAAGTAAGGCAGGAGTAATCAGAGCTCAGAGCTTTCAGAGGACGATGGTGATGCAGGTCTTTTTTGTGAGCTCGCAAGGCTTCAACTGTGGCAAACATCCAATTGCAGTCGTCTTCAGGACAGGGAATTTTACACTCCACAGATGAAGTCGAGTCACGGTATTCTTTTGCAATGTCTTCTTGCTTGACTTTCTTATCAACTTCCGCCTCTTGGGAAGCGGGCGTAGGTTCACAAGCCCGCTTTTTGCCTCGTGACTCCTCAAGATCGCAGTCAGCGGTTTCCTCCTGATGCTGCAGGAGCTCGTCTTCTGTCTGGAAAACAACGCCACATTTACAGCACTGAAACATGTCGATGTCTTCAGTTGCAGCCTCTTTCTCGGGATGCAATGCGATGCGATGTTTGCGGAGTCGAAAAGGAACGGGGAACCTGGCGCCGCAGTCAACGCAAAGGAAACGCCGCTGCCCGCAATCCTTCCGTCTGTGTTGGTTCAGCTGTAAGACAAACAAATGATCAGCACAGCTGGCGAACACGTAAAACATTAGAAGAATCAGCTTTCCAACCTCGGTAAACGTGCTGAATCTGTCCTGACAGAGGGAGCAGGAAAATGGCTTTTCTTCAGTGAAATGTGTGGGTTGGTGCTGGCTGAGCTCTGCGGTTGTGGAGAAAGAGCTGTTGCACTTGTAGCACATGAACAGCGTATTATTCTGCAAAAAGAAAATAATTTGAAAAAATGGAAATCCTTCCTGTTTCAGACTCAAATTTTATCAATACTCCGTCTGTTATTTCTCAAGTTTCACTATTTATTTGTGGCATACATGTGTACTGTGGTCAGGCTTTAATTATAGTACATGAAACTAAAGTATACATGCATGGACAAATGGAGACAGACTGATGCTTAAACATAGGCAACAAATTAATATTAAGCATTAGACACCCAATCCTTTCTGAATTAATGTTCAATAGTTTGCTGTAACAGACTAACACAGCTTGTTTAACCTAAACACTGAGTATTACCGCCTTGTAATACTCTATTACTTTTCCAACCATAGTTTTTCCTTCTACTTAATTTTTTAACATTATGTTTGGATACAGCACTGAACAGCCAGCTTCCTGGGCCTCTTTGTAGAAGATGTCAACAATGGTCTCACTATTGTCAAGAAATAAACCTATGGGCTGTCCTAAAAGTCAGTAGATGACATCACTGCCTAAGTTGCATATTTTACGGGGAGTAGAAGAAGAGAATGTCAAAGTTGGCAAGAAAAAAAAAGTGATTAAAATTACTCTAAATATGTTTATGTAAAATAAATCCTTTACCTGAATTTACACTACATAAATCAGTCTTGCATTTTATCAAAATTAACCAAACAACAGTTATCTGAGGCACAGACATTGGAGGAGGTGAATCAGTGACTGAGGCTGTGAATCAAATGCAATGATTTATTTTAGTGCAAAAAAACAAAACAAAGCAAAAAAAAAAAAAAAAAAACATTAAGCAACGTGGTAAATTTTGAATAATGTTTACAGCTTTTGCGATGCAGAGCAGGGACAGCTGCAGCTTTACCCATCCGTGATTAAATTACAAAGTTACTTTTTTTCTGTTCTTTTGTTGGCAGTTCAAAGAAAAGAGCAGTTTTAGTTTTGAGAAGCTGTATAACTCTGTACTTGTCAACACAATAGGAAAGAGCAAAGTAATCAGAGTACATTACATATTTAGTTCCTTCACCATTCACACCCCTAACAGTAGGCTGGACTTACTCACACACTGCAATCTAAATGCTAAAACACAGAAGAAACTCGCTGCAATTGTTGCTACTTACTTTTTTGAAGCAAAAGTCCCTACTGAAAAATCACTAAATTTAGCGACAAAGTTGCCATTTTTGCAACAGTGAATGTTCTACTAGACAGGTCTCCAGTCCTTACTCGAAATATCTAAACCATTAAGTCATATTTCTGTACAAAAATTTATTTTTTAAATTAGTCTCTTATTTTTGTGACCAAGTTAATTCTGGGGTTTCAATAACTATAAGTCCATTTATCAAAATTTACAGAAACAAATGTTTTAAATAAATCACTTCATGTGTAAAGGATCTATTTAAGATTTTCACCTTTTCAGTTCAATTACTGAAATAAATTAACATATTTGTTTACCTACATACAAATGTAGGTAAAAGTCTGCCTAAATTTTGGACTGCAGAATTATAATGCCTACTCAGGCCTATTTATAAATAAAATAATCCTTACAAGTTTTTTATAACAGTACTATACCAACAATTTAAAAAAAAAATTTTTGCACCTAAATTTCACTGAAGATAATTTGATACTAATGCTAATTTTTAGAATAATTCTTTATTGGGGTAGAAGTTTTGATAAATTATGATATTTTTCAATTTTATTTTATATGGATTAGTTTGCTGAAATATTTTTGAGACATTTTTCACTTTTAAAAATGTCTCAAACCTGCTGCAGATGACGCTTGTACTCGTCCCGATGGTTCCTCTTGATGTGTCTCTCCTTGGATTTGAGGTCTTTGAAAGTTATCAGGCAATGGAAACACTGCAGACTCTCATGGTGATCTGTAGTGCAGACGACAGACTTAAAAAGTAGTTCATGTTTAGTAACGTGTTTATTAAAAGTATTTACCCAGATTAAAATTCTTCCTTTTATCTTTTCTTCATTGGTTTCACAAATAAAGAATGATTAACTCAACTAGTTTGCTCAAATGCATGGTCTGAACTTTCCACAACATACCAAATAATATGTTTCAACCACCTCTTCTAAATTTAAGAATAACTCAATAAATAAAATAAAATATAAACATCAACAGGGTAAACACTGAACTGTGGAGAAGAACCTTAGGTGTCACAGGTCAATACTCATGAACCTTTACAGAGAAATCTCCACATTTTGAATAACAAGATCAATGAAGGTTGCTAATTCAGCCTAAAATGTCCCAACATTATGTGATAATCTAAAAGCTCACAAAGAAGACAGAGAAGACTTGTGACTTTTCACGTTCTCTGTAGTAACAGTACAGTAAATATCAGCTTACAGTAGTCCGGGCCGCCCACCGGGTCAGACTTGGTCTCTGCAGCAGAGGACTTCATTTCATTTCCAACAACCACTTTCTCTATTTTCATTTCCATCTCGACGCTTTCACCACATCCAACTGTAAGACGAGCACAAAATCGTCATTAAAAACAACGTAAATACGAAACATTATTTAAAAGGGACAGATAAACAGGCGATAACTGCGTTATATCTCTAAAATACTGGGGTGTGAACTCTTTAGCATCCATGATTGCGATAAATAGAACACGTCGTAAAATCACGACCACCGTTGCACCACGATGGAGGGCAGCACGAGCTACGCCGTTTGGTTTCAACTTAAACAAATAATTGAATTAAAAAAAACATTTTATATGCCCGTTGTATAATTCATGCGATGATTAAATGATCGATCTTTCACATAAAACAAATCCAAACTTGCTTTAGCGCTAACTGCAGCGTCCACGGAAACGAAGCCGTTGTTTAGTCCCCGTCACGTGACGTAGGAATAGAACATCTCGCGAGATTAGAGTTCGCCACTACAAAGCAAGAGCAGCGCCGTAGATATTATACGGCACTGAAATACAGGAAAAATTATATTGAAGAGTAAAGCTACTACAGCTAATTTTTACTGAAGTAAAAATAAAAAGTAGAAAATTAAAGAAATTAAGAGTGACATAAGTATTTAGTAGAAAGGCTCCTAAAGTACTTAGTAACATTTTAATAAGTAGAAGATAGTAGAAATAATTGATAAAACATCAATTATGTTATATTTTAAAAATTACATTAGACTAAAATATAAAAATATGTGGGAATATTGATCTGTTAAAGCTCAAAATGAAAGTAATTCATATAAATAAAATTACAAAATAGAATCAGGTAAAAGTAAAAATCTCTCAATATAAAACTTAGAAAATTTGACAAAAAACTGCAGGCTTGTGTCTGTATCTGATTATTTCTTTGGTGAAAGCAAACTTGTTCTTCATTTAGCGAAGTTGTTCACAGTGAGAGTAGAAATACTTGACAATAAAATTACTCAAGTAAAAGAGTAAAATTAGTCCTAAAAGTAATTTTTTCCCCCCAAAAAATCTCTCCGGTTTCTTTGTAATTCTCCTCAACATTGACCTTGATGCTAGTTGACTATTGAGAATTAGAAAAGCTGTATTCATACTACACAGATGGAATCGATTTACTAGTTAGATATTTGGAAGCAATTGTTTTCCAGATTTTATTGAAAAGAAGGGGATGAGAAAAGCTGCATGCCACACTTCTCAGATTTCTATTTATGCTCTATGGTGCTCTGTCACACACAATCCTCTTAAATACATTGAAGTTTGTGATTGTTTTTCAACTAAATGTAGAAAACTTACCATCTTATTCTAAAGACACAAACGATCCTGACAAACTGTGTCTCTCACACTGGTAGGTGTATTTGCAGTTTCGAATCTATCTAAATAAATGAGCCATATCTTTCATCGGCTCCTACCTTGTTGAACCAGCTCCTCTTTTAAGTTCTGAATAAAACACTGAAAATCAATTTTGATCCAAAACTGTGTCAAAGGCGAAGACCTAATATCTTTGCTCAAACAGAAAATAACTTAATATTGTGGTTATAATTCCCCACAAACCATCTTTACAGATCCAAAATGTTCTGCTCATATTTTTCAAATTTAAAGATTTTCTTTAAATCAACTCTTTCACAGTTTTTGTATGAACCCAGAATAGATATGCTCCAAATTTAGTTACTATTTCTTTCATAAATCAGACAGTTTTTACTTTAAAACTTCTACTAGTCTTCAGTTTTGTGAATTATTAACATGGGTTGCAATATTTAAAGTATTTTCATGTGGATAAATCTACTCTATAAGACTGAAATAAAGGACATTAACATCTCAGAATCAGTTTTCTTTTCCACATACCAAAATTCTAAAGTAATACAAAAACTCCCCCCAAACAATTCAACACTTAAAATCAATCAATAGTTCAGGTAATAGATCTTTATTGGTATTTTCACCGAATACGACAGAAGTGTGAATTGAAGCTTCCTGATGAGGCAAAAAGACAGTATATCATCTTTAGTTTAAATATTTCTCACAGACATAAGGTTAAGGGCATTTAGAGGCAGAATAAAGAAATCAAAAAGTTGAGAACGAGATTTAAGCCACAGCTTGTTTCTGCTGCTGCTGGTATTCAGCGATTCGGCTTTCCATTACAGGCCTGAAGTGCCGGATTAATCCCTAAAAACACAAAAAAAAGAGACTATTTATGAGCAATATCACTTCAATATACAATATCAAGTCAAAGTGATAAATAACTTCAGAACTGAAGAGATTATGACAGAACATAATGTAGAAAAAAAAAATCAAAAGCATTATTTGTTACTGTGGGAGGGAATTAGTGACATCTAGTGGCACAAATTGTCAATTACAAACAAGGATTGGTCAAATTTCAGGAAAAACCTCTCAGCCCAAAATATCATCTAGCATCCATAACAAGTACAGACACATATGAGTGAATAAAATAAATAAATCACACATTATTTCATACTCTGACTGAGGTAAAACCCAGTTTCCTCAGTCACTGGATTTTGACCAGTCCAGTGGGTTGGAATGCCAAGAACAGGGCATTCCAACCTGTTGGAATGATTTCTCTTCTCTGGTATGTCTTTACCTGTACGGGCCACGCTGCACCGTCACCCAGCGCGCAGATGGTGTGTCCCTCGATCTGCTTGCTGAGCTCCCAGATCATATCGATCTCCGCCGGCCGTGCATCGCCGCGGACAAAACGCCACATCATCTTATTCATCCAGTCCACTCCTGCAGAAATCAACCAGTGGATCCAAAACAAAACATATTATTTTATTGTTTATGAAAATAAATCCTTCCAAAAAAAAAAAAACTTAATCAGAAACATTTACCCTCCCTGCATGGTGTGCACTGGCCACAACTCTCATGTTTATAAAACTCAATCAGTCGGGCGATGGCTCTGATGATGTCAGTCTGCAAAAGCAACACTAATGAACCAATGACCAATGCTACCGGCGTTTGGTCGCTCTGCAGAGGCGACGGACTCACAGATTTGTCCATGACGATTAGAGCGGCCGTGCCAAGGCCGGTCTGGGCTTGAATGAGGCCGTCGAAATCCATCAGCACCTCTTCACAGACGTTCTTGGGGATGAGGGGAGTTGAGGATCCTCCAGGGATTACAGCCAGCAGGTTATCCCAGCCTCCACGAACGCCACCTAACGCACAGATGTTGCTTTCAATTAAGTTAGGGGAAAAAAAATGTAGTCGCTTATGTTAAGCCGTCCTAATCTTTGACATTATGACCCTTGTACTGAAGGAGAACATGGCAGATGGATTTAGGTCATCTCTTTGTGACCTTTCTACTTAATTACACTTCAAAATAAACAGATTTAAAAATGCACATACAGGAAAGACTCCTCCCTGTTTTTTTATACAAAAAATCTCCCAAAACACTTTTTTGGAGTTTTCAGCAGATTGGGGTAGTAACTGGTTACATTTACTCAGTTTACTTGCATAACTTTTAAGGAAAATATGTACTTTTAGGAGTATTTTTACAACTCCGTACTTTTTTACTTTCACTTGATTTATTTTAAGATGAATTATCACTTCTCTTACATAAGTAAAATACTGGTTTGTTTTAACCAAAAATTCACGAGACAAAGACACACACCTGCAGATTTTATTAATGTTTTATATTAAAAATTTAGGAAAACTGTTGTTTTAAAATAATTTTGTTTACATGCATTACTTTCATTCTGGTTCTTAAAATACCAAAATGTCCACACAATTTTAGATTTTGGTCCAATTGATGTAATTTTTAAATGATTAATGTTTTGATCAATTACTCAGTACTTTTTCATTCTTACTTGTGTAATCTCTATTTTTTATTTTTACTTGAGTAAAAATATGTTTTTTTAGCTCTACTTTAACTTGGGTCAAATTTTTGGTTACTCTACCTACCTCTGGTTTTCAATTACGAATGTATGTTCAACAAGAAATAGAAAATATTGATGTTAATCGCCATTTTAAATATGGAGGCTGCAAATAAATGGACTGAATGAAGGAAGAAACAACAGACGAAACAGAAAGAAGAAACAAGAAAGAAAGGAATGATACAAAAAAAGAAGGAAGGAGGAAAAGGCACAGAAAATAAAATAAAGAAAAAACAGGGCAAGTTAAAAGAAAAAAGGAAAGATAACAGCAGTGAAAGGACACATACATTAAAAGAAGGACACAAAAAAGAGCCAATGTCCCAATTTTTAAAATCAAATTTATCAGAATAATCTATGTATTTAACTTCAATGTATTTAAGAGGATTGTGTGTGACAGAGCACCACAGAGCAGAAATAGAAATCTGAGAAGTGTGGCATGCAGTAATAATTTACTAAAATAATCATTGGTTGCAGCTGTACAAAAATGAAGGGAATGACAGAAGAGAGATAGCAACACCTAGGACTGAATGACATCTAGACAGTGTAATTAAAGGAATAAAATCTTAATTTTTTTCCAGAGTCAGACCTTTAACATGCTGAAATCAAATGCTGGATGTATGTATAAAAACATACATGCAGGATGTATGTTCTTATACACACATCCTGCATGCATAAAACATGCAGGAAACACATATGGATGTTTTCACCCAAATGTAAGAATGAAAGCCGCCATGTTGATGCGTACCTGCGTGTCTCTCGATGAGCTCCTTCAGAGGGATGGACATCTCCTCCTCCACAGTGCAGGGGTGGTTCACGTGACCCGAGATGTTGAACAGTTTTGTGCCAGAGTTTCTCTCCCGGCCGAAGCCCAAGAACCACGACCCTCCACGGCGACAGATGGCGGGCGCCACGGACACCGTCTCCACGTTGGCGACGGTCGTCGGGCAACCAAACACACCTTCAACGAGAGGAGAAAACATGCGAGTTGCCAGGAGGAACCCACTGGGATGTACGGATGTTGTTTGCTGCCTGAACTCACCAACATCTGCAGGGAACGGAGGCTTGAGACGCGGCTTCCCCTGCTTCCCCTCCAGGGACTCTATGAGGGCGGTTTCCTCTCCACAGATGTACGCGCCGGCCCCACGCATCACAAACACATCGAAGTCGTAACCAGAGCCGCAGGCGTTCTTTCCAATCAGCCCAGCAGCATACGCCTCGTTGATGGCCACCTGAAAGAGAAAGATGGGTTCATTTTTGATTCACTTGTTGCAAAGATTTTAACGTGTTAAAATTAAAATTGTTTTCTGTTTTTGTATTCACATTTCCAGTGCGCCTGTAAATCTGACGCACAATCCCAACTACAAACAGCAGCGACGAACAACAAAGTGGCTTTTCTTGCCACACTGAAGAGTAATTTTTGAAAATTGACTTTATTTATTGGAAGCAGTTTCACTAGCAGCAAAGCATTGTGACGGAAAGAACTTCCAGTTCATAATTTTCCAATTTTTCAAAATTTCTTTAATTAAAAAATATTGCTTCATTTGTCAATACATAGTTTTCAATAAAAATGTATTTAATAAATTTTTTTAATCAAGTCCCACAACTAAAAAAACAGTTTATTTCTGAAATTTGGTAGAAACAGGGAAAATTAGTTTAAAAGACGACAGCCATTTGTGAAGAATCACTTCCATACAGCTCTGGAAAAAACTAAGAAACCACTAAACATGATTTTACGCTTAATAGGTAATACTTGAGTAAAATGAACATTATTCTTTCAATCTAAGAGCTTCTGACAACGTGTCTCTGAAAGTCCAAGCAAATATTTAGTATTTATTTGCAGAAAATGAGAAATGACCTAATGATGTAGTGCCTTCAGACCTCAAGTAATGCAAAGATAACAAGTTTATTTAAGTTACAAACAACAATACTTATGTTTTAACTCAGGAAGAGCTCAGAAATCAATATTTCGGCTTTCAATGGGGTTCAATGCAGTAGTTAATTTTTTCCTTAGCTGTATTTGTTGAGTTATGTCAATACTGAAATGTTTATATGTCCTTTTGCCACTTTCCTTTTGAAAATTTGACCATTTATTATTTAGAAAGTTACCAATAGTTTTATACATATTTTTAAATTAATGCTTTCTACATTACACAACAGTTGTGTAATAAACTCTGTCACACCATCAGTGTGCACGCATTCACCTGCAGGTTGGACGACTCGTTGTAAAACTCTCCTCTGATGTAGATGTAAGCAGCACGAGCCCCCATGGCCCGGCCCGCGATCAGGCAGCCCTCCACCAGCTTGTGCGGGTCGTTCCTCATGATCTCTCTGTCCTTGCAGGTTCCAGGCTCTCCCTCGTCCGCATTCACCACCAGATACTTTGGCCTAAAACACAGACACAAAACTGGGTCAAGTTATGAAGGAAAAACAGCAACAATTATGGAGATCAAACTGAACTCAACATGACTGTGAGCAGAAGAACCAAACTATCCAGAGGAGAAGTTAATAGATTAACTAACTGATAGACATTTATGAAATTCTTTGTTTTCATTTCAGCTATTGAGGAAATCAATGATTGATTCAATACTAAATACAAGGGAACATTTTAAAAAAATATTTCTCTCTGTATTTGAGGAAAGAAAACTGAACCTAACTAACATTTAGACAATGGAACTGTGAATAAAGTCTTGATCATGATTGAAACAAGTAAGCAGACAAATTATGATTTAATTGATTATGAAAATTATCAACAAATTTTGTAATCAATTAATCTCATGTTACCCAAAAAAGGCAATTTTACTGAAAGAACAGCACAGTATGAACAGTAATTAAGCCAAAACTGTACAAAAATATATACCGTACATTTCGCATTAAAGAGAAAAAAGAACATGTAAGCATGTTCTACCCAAAACTGCTTAAGTGGCATTGTTTTCGCTTCACCTGGTTCAACTGCCATAAAAAAATAATAAAAAACTCCATTTACTATCTAGTTGTTAATCAGTTAATCCAAAAAAAGAATCACTGTACCTACTTTAATTAAAGCAAAACTAAAAAAGGAAACAAATATTTATCTGTCATGTATTTTTTTTCTTCTTCCACTTCTATTAAAACCCAAAGCCAATCTGGAAATTACCGATATAATAATTAGTTTCTTGACTCCATTTCTATATTATTGAAGGTTTTAAAACAAAATATAATGAGGAGATCAGAGGCAAATCTGCCAGGGTCTCTGCACTGACCGGCCGTCGCTGGGTTTGTTCATGAAACTCCACTTCATGCCAGTAGGGAACCCGGCTCCGCCTCTCCCCCGCAGACCAGAAACCTTGATCTCATTGAGAATCCAGTCGACCCCCTTCAAAAGGATCTCCTTGGTTTTGTACCAGTCGCCACGTTTCAGTGCCCCGTTTAGCCTACCGGGAAGCAAAAAGCAGGTAAATATTGAAAATTATTCCTTTTTTAAAATCATTTTAATTGCCCGAGTGCACTGATACTCTGTATTAAGCAAAAGTCATGTTACCTCCAGTCATGACGGCCATAAAGATTTGTGAAAATTCTATCGTCGTCTGCCAGAGGGCCAAATGTAGTTTTCTTTGGAGCACTCTGGTTAAATAAAAACATATTTTTTTTGTGTATGCTTCTTGAAAGTTAAACTATTTAGCGATTCTATTAAAAACAGACAATGTACCTGCGCAGTGCTGTTGAATCGACAGAGAGTGGTCACGCCTCCTTGGCTGATTGCGGCCGGAGCGCGGGCCACGGCACCCACCAGCGAACGAGACAAAGACAGCATCCTTCCAGCAGAAAACACAAAGAGAACCAGCTTTAAAACTTCAGCATCAGAGCTCTCAAGTTATTTTAATTCAAGAAGACAGAAATAATAATAATAAAAAAAATTCATCTGAAAATGAAAAAAATAAGTTATTGGACAAATATTTTTCATAACACACAGCTCTTCTTGTCAAAAATGTCTGCTAGAACAGAAACATGTGAAGATTGAAGTGTACTTCACGTGACAAGTGAAAATACGGTGTTAAAATAAAACATCCAACAAATTTATGAGATATATGTAGTTATTACACATTTAGGATCCAATAATTGCCCCATGTTGTTTGTACACAAACCATTACTGAATGTAAACAAACTTATCTTGCAGAACCTCCTGGACAAACTGCAAAGGTTGCAAATCTACAAAATGTAAAACTATGTTGAAATCTTTTAAATTGGTCTTTGTCAGTAGTTCTCCAGACTGTCTGAATGTCTTTCTAAGTTTCTTTTTTGGCTTCAATTGCTTTACCACTCTCTTTATATGCAACCTATGTGGTTGACCTAATCAAAATATTGGGAAAAATTTACGAAAAATTGGCTAATATACCACAAAAGAAGCAAGCTGTGTTGCTTTTGCATCATTGATCAAACCTGTGATGCTTTTAGTGTATTTAAGTATGCTGTACAGGTGTAGAGTTGTCAAATATATTTGTAATTCAGTACATTTATGACCGTTTCTTTCAAAAAAAAAAGAAAGGTTTTAAGTCAATTGAGAGCTGTTTTTCTGTACTGGATCAATGTTTTTATTTTTGAAACAAAAAATTAAAACTGAAAAATTATTTTGAACCCGGGAAAATAAAATTATAAGTAAAATATATATTCTATTTAGCTCAGATACTTGTTTTATTAAATTAAATAGAAGCATATTGTGTCGTAATTAGAATCTCAAAGTAACATCCACAAAAATAAGACACTTATTGGTGGTTACATCACGTTAACCTTTACATCCAAAACAACAACTTAAATGGGAAGAGAAGTTGTGATCAAAGTTGTGTTACAATTAAAATGACATAATTATAAATATATTTATTAAATAAAGCAAGGTATTGATAAACAGGGATTGTGTTGGTCAAACTGACCTCAGTGCTACATGCTAACTTTAGTTAGCTTAGCGGTTAACCTTGCAGTGGAATTAAAGCAACGGATCCACGGAGCTACATGCTAATTTCACACACGTCAGTGCTAACTGGTTAATTCACCGTTTAGCTATCAGAGGCAGATATCTAATCTGCTGCAAGGGTCAACAATAACCAACAAAAACAATCCGCCGGACTTACCTCCTGTCTAAGTTAGAGGTTTACGAAACACAGCTCGACAGGAAGCAGAGCGGGTGACCCGGATGTAGTTAATAAGACAAAACAAAAATTTCGCAACTGACCCTACAGAGCTAACGTTACAAAACAAAATGTTTGGTAATGTTATTTAATAGTGCGTGGAATATATTTTAACTCAAGAATGATTTTTTTTTTTATTTAGTGAATATTGTGTTGTATGTGAATTGAAATAGGCTGTGACTCTATTACATTTACTCAGTCACATTTAGTTGAAAAAAAAAATACTGCAGAGTATTTTTTACTTTTACTTAAGTAATATTGTCACCAATACTGCTACTCTTGCTTAAATAATATTTCTGGATATTTTTAGTTACTTCACTACATGAAGAATAAACATGTTTTTACCAAAATGCACAGACACATCTAAAGTTTACGTTAACCTGAGACTTTTTGTCTGTACACAAGCTTTATCCTACTAATTTTCTGTGCCTGTTGTACCATTTGGAGGTGAAGTAAATATTGGTTTTATGCAGTTTAACAATGAGAAATTTGATCAAAAAAAGTATTTTTTATTCTTAAATTTGTATTTATGTTCTTTCCTTTCATAGTATTTAAAATGTCGGAATTTGCTCATAAGTTTACAGTTTTCTAATGACATTTTTAAATGTGAAATAAAACAAGACAATTTGTTACTCAAAATTGTAAGCATATTTTCTCTTCATACAGTGTTTTACTCTTACTTTAATAATTTAATACATAACCAAAGTCACTCCCAGGAAAAAGTCCCCCAAAAGACATTGTAATATAAAAATGACCAAACTTACAGGAAAATAAATATCTATAAGATATCAGTGCCATCAGATCTCTGACATGGCACTGACTTATTAGCCATTATTTAGAAAAACATCTGCATCTGTTATGTACACCAATATTTTTCTTCTGCTTACACTCTTTGCATAACACGCAAAGGTTTCAGATGGACATAAATATAAATATAGAGAGTGTTTTGGAAATGTAAATAAATGCTTCTTTAAATTTAAAAAATCAATGCAATGTGCACAAATATAAGCTAATGTTCTTTGTCGTTCTGTGTCAGCTGCTTTGGAAAACTAATTATTATGTCTCGGGGTCAGAAATATATTTACTCTGCATAATCAGTGCAAGGAAAATATAAACAAATATAAAACCCAGTCAGAGGAGGTCTAATTACAGCTCTGCAAACATGCAAAGCAATTTATCCCTCAAATTTTATTTCATTTTATACCATTTAAAATATTACCACCACTCTACTAAAGACCTGTTTTGACCAAAACACTTTACAAACAAACCTTATTAGCAGGATCTTAAGCATGTAAAACAAGAGGCAGTTGATGAAAAAATGCAAACAAACTCAGTTTTACCTTTTCTCTGCCTGCCTTTGCCTCTCTTCCTGGTGAAAAGTGCTTGACAAGAATCATATATCAGCAGAATTTAAGTGATTCAATCTGGAAGTCTAATAACATACCAAGAGTTTTATTCATTTATTTATTTTTTGTGCATCCAATCATTTAAAATTCATTATTTTTTGAAACCCATTGTAACTATAAATCCTGACAATGACAAATGAGAAAAATAGGGAGATGTAAAAGTTCACCACCACCTGCAGCTGCGATCACAGTTGAATTATTACATCACTGGAGCTTATCGCCCATCGGTATTAACCTCCATGTGACACAACATACAGATCTTAGGGATCATTTGAATCAGAAAGCTTTATGATGCACCACCATCTGGTGCTCCCATCCCAGAACTGGGCAAACAGAAATCCAGTCCTTGAGGTCCAGTGGATTTTTTGGATGTATTTCTGTGTGAACATCTGAATTATTTGGCTTATAGTCTATAACTTGTTTTAAAAAAAGAACATATGGATCTATTCAGAAAAAAGAGAAAAAGCAATGACAAAGGTTTATCCAGTTTGTGTACATCAATAAAATCCAAGTAGACATTATTTTACATTTATTTTCTTGAGATCTGTTAAAAAGTGCTTTGTCTGTCTGTCTGGAGTCTCTTTCTCTTTCTTCTTATTTCACTCGGACTCAGTTGTTGGAGGTTGATAACTGGATCTACGTGAAACTCGATCCAGTCGCTCCACAGCCACGCTCTCAAACGCCCGCCTCATCAGAGGATGTTCCTCCAGGACTTCGTTGAAGTCGTCCACGCTCAGCGAATAAAGACGACAGTAGGTGTCGGCCCTCACGCTGGCCGTCCGTCGGCCCTGAGTTAGTAGGCAGATCTCTGAACCAAGAAAAATAATCGGTTTAGACATGAAGGTAGAAGAAAAACTCGACACATGCTGAAAAAAACAACAAAATCTATCTAATTCTTCTATTTTTGGTCTAGTTTCTAGTCCAAATATTTTAGTGCACTTGAAGTAACTTTTCAACAAAATATTGGAGCTAATTTTAAGTCCACAATTTCTTAATATTGACTTAAAAATGTACAAGTTCCACAAGTTGATTATATTCCTTATAGTATTGGAAAAATGTCTTGTGATAAATGAAACTATATGCAAATGGATCTAGTACTTGTTTTTTATATTAAGAAATAATATACTTAAAATAAGCTGCTATATCTTGCAGAAATGCTATTTGTAAGTTAGTTTTGACTTATTTAAAGTGAATTTTTCTTGTTTGCTCTAGAAATTCCTGGTAAAATTTAGGTGTTTTTTTCACAGTGCGCGATAAAAAAACCTACACTGCAAAACTTATTTATAGTATAATTCTAATCAAGCAACTCACATATTATTGTTCACTGCTTTTGCAGAGTGTGATATTTCATAAATTTTAGTTTTTCTTCTAAATGACATCAAGCCAATGACAAACAATTACATTTCCCATTAGTAATTCAGAAGAAATAGTAAAGAATAGTTGGAAAATGTAGTAAAATTCCAACAAGTTTTCGGTGGTTGATTTTATAGAAGAAAGGCCGTAACAATCTAAATAATGCAGACTCTCATAGATTTGATAAGTAGCTGAATAGAGTTTTAATACTCCACTGTATTTACCTCCAAAGTAGGCTCCATCACTGAGTATTATCTCTTTACTGCCACGCGGGATAATCGTGACGGTGCCATGCTGGATGAAATACATTTTCCGACCCAGCGTTCCCTCTCGTATCACAAAGTCTCCTGGCTGAAAAACTTCAAAGCGCAGCTTGGTCAGGATCACGGTGACAAAGTGAGGGTCGGTGTTGGCAAAGAGCGGCATGTTGGCGACAAGTCCACGGCAGTTATAGCTGACAATCTCCTGCAAGACAGAGACAAAATGGACACAAATAAATTGAGTAGAAAACACGTTTTTAGTTTTCTGCTGTGCATGTTGAAGACTGTTGATAAATGTATGACTATTAACTCATTTGAGGTCAAACTCCAAACTCCAGTCTTCAAAGGTCGTTCATCTGCAACTTTAAGATTTGATTCTGGCTCAACACACCTGAATGAAACAGCTACTTGGGTGGGTTTTATATGAAGTGTTGCATAAACATTGTGGCAATGATACAATAATTATGGCACTTAAACTCATGGCACTTCATGCAGACACTCTGTCTGCACCTTACATTCTAACAATCATCTACTCTCATCAATAACTCTTGGAATTAAAAGAAAGAACAATCAAAGTCACACGTCTGAAGAATAACCCACCTCCTTCAGTGGGTCGCTGAGTTCTCCCAGGATGCTGTCTTCATCAAACATCTTGCCCTGGAATCGGTGCTCGTAGTAATCATGAATCCTCTGCCGCACATCGGCTGGCAGTTTATGAAACGACATATACTGCTCCACTTGCTTGTACTGCAAAATCACATAAAATACATACATGAAGGTGGAGTACCTTCATGAGGATGCAGTGAAAGTTCTGTGGGGGTTTATGTCAGGTGTTTTAAGTCCTGTTTTCTCCCATGTGTTTGCTGAATTACAACACTGTAATTAAAATTATTCCATTTGTTTTGTGTGTGGTGTTTTTTTTTTTTTTGTCTCCCATTCTAAGTGGATTACAAACTCATTTGTGATCACTGTCTGCTGTCAGTAGAGGTGCTGCCGTTTGTCATCATCTGCTCGGTTTTATCATGGGAAAATCCCCAGTAAAAGGTCAGAGTGAAAATCCATTAGATAGTAAACATGTTATATGTAGCGCTGTCTCTCTGAGCAAAGTTTGAAGACGCAAGCAAGCCTCTGATTTGAAACATGACTGTGATATTAAAACTCAAAGCCAGAGGCACATTAGCGTCCATGTGTCGCTCCTGGAACATATTATCCACTGAACATTTGAGTGTGTAGCCAAAAGGTTTTAGTCTTACACCTTTACAAGAGACCTATTATGCTAAATTTATATTTTAGACGTTTTTGTACTTTCTTTAACTGTACATAATTTAAAAAATTATAAAAATGTTTTGTACAGCCCATAGGCCCACCCTAACCTGTTCCAGAACACATAATAGGTCAGAGATAATTACCTTCTCCTGATACTGGCGATGGGATGCATCCAAAGATTGGACCAGGGTGGTTGCGTGACCCAGGAACATGGCATAGCAGGTGGCTCCAACAACCATGCTGATCATGGTGAGCCAAACATCGGTCATGCCCTCTGGAGGGTGAGCGCCATATCCTATACATAACATGTGACTCATGGCCATAAACAGGGCGTAGGAGTACTGGATATGCCAGGTGGCGTTCTGAGGAGAAGAAGATTTCATTTAGCTGTAATTGTAGGCCTATTTATGTTGTAAATATTCAATTATTGATTTTTTTTTTCTTTTGAGGTTAGACGTTTAGGCAGAACCTGGACTCACCGCCATGTTGTTTTTAGATACCCAACAGTCTGGAGGAAAGTCTTGCAGCATAGGAACCATGAAGGTCAGACAGCCATCCCAGTGGCACAGCAGCAGCATCATACCAATCAAGTTGACTATACGCACCACAGCGCTGGCCAAGTCATAAGTCATGTGGAAAATCTGTCACAGGAGAAGTTAAATAAATTCAAGTTCAGTTTATTTAAAGCATCCAAGATATCCAAGTGGTATTATAGAACACTTTTCAAAAACAAGACAGATATAAATCACAAAGTATAAATGTGAGTTAAAAGAGAGAAATAACATTGACAGATCAGAACACAAAGTGTATTCAGAGAATAATAACAAAACAGCTTATTCCTTGAAAGACACCAGGAAATGGAATCAATTTGAAAACTGGAGGCAAAATTGCCTGTCTCACAAAGTTAGACAACTTTTACACAGTTTTGTCACTAAACACTCAAGTTCCTTGTTGGTACAACAGGACAGAGAAGTACTGTATGATGAGAGAAACTTAGTTGTATGCTGGAACGTGCCAACTCCAGGCAGAAACCACACTTTCCTCTTACTGGAAACATGATTGTGAGGCGTGACTAAGTATACAGCAAAGACCGACATAGGTGAGAGCAGAAACACCCAAATGGGTCACGAATGCACGGAGCATCTATTTTCTTCTCATTGTAACTAACACAATTTGAACCATCCACATCTTGGTGTCATTAAGATACAATAGGAAGGGCTCAGAGGAAGGCGGGTTAGTTCACAACATGTAAATCTCACAGTCATCAGGGTCGTGATGGGAGACTATTTCATGTTTCCTCAAAATAAACTCAAACAGAGGAAGGTTCAGGCGAATGAAAAGAAGTCCAAAGATTGATCCTTGAGGTACACCAGAAAAACTCAAATAAAGGAGTGACAGCAGACTGAAGACTGTCTAATTTCCACTAAGCAGTACAGCATGGGTTAGTGTGGTTCAGTATGCTAACCCCTTCTCCGTTGTCAAGTGTTACTCTATCCACTAAATGTCTGGTTCAGTTCGAGTCAAATTGGGTTTGTCGTCATTAGCAGTGGGTTCCTCTCTATGTGGACGTGAAAATGGGCAGGAACATTGGGGGAATGTGGGTGGGCTGTGTGAACAAGCAAAGTCAATGTCATTTTCAGCAGTTTCTCTGAAATGTCTTGTACGTCCTATCAAGCTGAAGATGTAAGTGCTTTTCACCTCTAGATCTGACCAGTGAATTATTGATTCGTAGTTCACCATCTTGACAACTACTATAGTCTCATCTGATTATGATTATTAAGTAGGGCTGGGCAAGTGATCAGTAACACAATAGACCCACCATCAATATCCATAGATAAAACGTTCAATAATGTCACTGAACCTGATTCAGAACGGAACAGCATTCTGGAGGATGTAGGCAGAGGAAAGACTTTAGTCGCTCAACCTCTCATATCTCGCTAAGCAAAGTTGGTGGAATCAGCTGACTGACGCACTCTGTGGTTACCTAGCAACTCACTCATTCTTTGGTTACCTAGCAACAACCTGTTGAGTAGCTTGTGCAGCAGCAGTTTCAGGTTTTGCCACCATTCCTCATAACTGCTTAAAAATAAAATAAATAGCAGCATGGAGTGAAAGGAGAAAATTAGCACAACAGCTCAAGAGGAACCTGAATAAAACAGGAAAGGTCAAGGCACCAGTTGACCTTTTGATAATGGGTTCTGTCAATACATTCTGGCAGAACTGGCCTTTGATTTGGCCCAAAGTGAAAATGAGTTTGATACCTCTGCTCCAGACAAGAGATAAGAATCACTCATATGAAGAAGCAAAAGGGTGACACGGCTCCTTGAGTGAGTGGCTGAAAAGATGACGTTCAAAACCTAGGAAACAATACAAACCAAGGGTGCAGTTTTCCTTTCTGTCCCATTCTTTTACCTCTTCCCACTGATGGATGTAACGGATGAGACGTGAAAGTCGGAGAAGACGCAGCAGGCTGAGGATCTTGGTGAAACGCACAATCCTCAGAGCCCGCGCCGTCCTGTACACATCAGACGACTCATGGCGGGACTCCAGGTCAACGATTAGAAAAATGTAATCAACAGGGATGGAGGAAACAAAGTCTACCAGGAACCAGGTGCGGAGGTAGTGCATGCGGATCTCTTTGGGGTCCAGAATAATGTGACTGTCCTCTCCCGGGATACCGGTACGAAAGTTAAAGACCAGATCCATGAGGAAGAGCGTGTCGGACAGGAAATTGAAGATAATCCAGGGCATGGTGTTTTGGTCTTCAAAGAAGGTGATTCCCCAGGGCAGGATGACCAGATTACCCATCATCAGAAGAAGCATCACAATATCCCAGTAAAACCTGCACAAAACAAGAGAAATCGATTAGATCTGTGGTCCTCTGATGAGATTACCTACAAAACCTAGACTGTGTAGAGGTTTAGCTTAATCTTCAGGTTCTCACACTAATTATGAGCGGGTTAGGGTTAAATCCCCCAAAATTTAATCATGTGATTGAAAAATCATACGTACAAAAACACCCTCATACTCTCAGTCATTCTTCATCCAAAGCATCACGTCATTGTTATGCTGCAACTGCTGCCAGTAGGAAAACTGACCTGTCTATCTGATATGCATGGTCTTTGAAAAGGTTTCATGTCTCAGATACAAGAACGTCATCATGTCTCAATGTCCTTCATTCCAGGACAACAGATTACAAGTTTAAACATATTTGAGTAACATTTCCTCACTTTGTTGAACTTTCTAAAGAACCATTTCCAAACAGGTTCCTGAAATACTCCAATGCACCATACATTAATGAACATACATTTTAGAGAACATAGCGTATTGGCAGGAAGTTAAGGCAAATAGAAGCAAAGTAAGGAAAAAATATAAAAACAGGCAAAATAAGAAAATGAGAAGTATTTGTATTGACTGATACTAAACCTCAGATATCCGTATTGGTAGTGGAGGTGAAAAACAAACCTAGCAGAAAATGATTAGAAACACTTAGTACTGGATTAAGACAGGAAGAAACTACCATCAAAACGCTGGCGTGTTCAGGTCAGAGTCCGTCCTGTTAATTTGCTCTCTCACATTAAATCATACTGTGATAAAACTTCCTTTCATTGGTTAACAGATTTTTAGAAGGTTTAATTTATCTGCTAAACTTGTTCATTTTAAATAATAGCTTCATGGGTTGACCTAATTACCAGGGAAAGACATCCATCTCATTATTCCCTGAATAGTTTCTGTCACAAGAATAGCCCCTGCCATTAAAAATGAATACTGCTTGCCGTATTTGTTGAACAAGGCATTGAACAGAAGAGCGTATCACTCCCAGTGGAAATGTCTGCCTTGTGATTTGTGTGGAGCAGTGAACCTTATGGCTTCACTCTCTATTCATGTCGATTCCACTGGTCTATATGTCTCCAGTGTCTCGTTATGCACCAAAGGCTCGGTTTGGATTTCCTTACAGATTGTTTACATCCCTCACAGATTGCTTTTCTGGCTCTCTGTCGCTCTTTCAATTACTCTGGGACGATAACTGAATATCCGCTGGACTAATTTTGATTACATCATTCTTCCTCTGAAAGAAGAGGAGATACAGAACGAGTTAATTGAGATTTTTCTTTTCCTTCCCATTCATTCCTCCTTCAATCCCCTTTTGGTCGTGTCCTCCATGTCAACATGCTGGTTTACATGACTACTTATGTTCCAGCAGATTAGTGGCTACTTCCTGCTGCTAATAACTTCCCCGATGACTCTGAAGGGTTTTACAGCTGTCCACGTGGGCCGGGTGTTCACGTTTATACACGATTAATGTGCAAGTGTAGTGTCAGCGGCAGAAAAAGCTTTTAGGCCAGATATTAGTGGTTTATACTGAGAAACATGCAGCACTGATGTGTCATATGCAGCATTAAGAGAACGCATATTTTGTTTGATTGTAAGTTAAAATAGCAATATATTTCATTGGAATTTTACACTACAAAAACACAAAATCTTAATTAGTTTTGGTCTAGCTTCTTAAGACAAAATTAACTCAAGCAACATTTGGGCAAGACACAGGAGCTTGATTTAAGTCTATAATTTCTTAATATCAATGACAAAATACTAGTCATTCGTAAAATAGTCTACCAGTGGAACAAGGTATTTTTACCATATATAATTAGAATGATCTCAAACTAGCACTTTTTGATCAATATTAAGGAATTACTTAAACAAGCTCCCTTGCTGAAAAGTTACTTGAAAGTTAGTTTTTTCCTATTTCAAGTGTATTTGGTCGTAACAAGAATAAAAAATTTAATTTGGTTTTAAAAATGATTTAAATGAAAATAAATAAATAAATAAAGTTGTGTGCATTCAGGTTACCTTTTTTTTTTCTCTGTGGCTCTTTTGAAATATTTCTTATTGAACATTCTTCTTTGCAAAATAAGTAATAGTAAACAGTTTTTGAATTTGCCACTGATTCTTGGTTTGTTTCCGGTCTGGACTTTGACTAGGCCATTCAAACACATAAATACAAATTTTGCTCTGTGAGATATTTATTTTATATAATAGCACAGCTGTGAACGTCTGTTCTTCTCTGCTGGTGCATCTGAAATCTTTATTATTTGTACTAAATTACACACAACTGAACTATATTTACTTATAAGGGAACTTCTTATGATGAATGGATTTTAATAATGGAAGTCAAATTTAAAGTGGAAGAAGTCAAACTACACTTCAGATAATTTTTTTAATTGGAAAAACATGTTATTTCTCTTCTGTTTTAAGATTTATGCATCATTTTGTGTTGGTAATATACTCTGGAGTTAGAATCAAATGTGGAGAAGTTTAAAAGGTATTTATATTTTTGCCAGCTTGCAAACTTTCCACATTTTTTGGTTCTTTTTGGAGGAACCCATGTGACTCTAAACTGTAAACGGGTGTGGTGCAGTTCAAACTGGTCCATTATAAAGAGGAAGCTGGACCATAAGGTCTAAGGAGAGCAGGCTCTCTGTAATCTCCCCCTCAGCTGTCTGTGTATTATTGCATAATAGAGCAAGATGGGAATTATAGGGATTCTTATGGGCATTAATCCCTGTGCACCGGTTTATCCTGCCTGTCTGGCAAAGGCCTGATGGTTAAAAATTGTTCAAATCTGATGCCGGGTATCGGTTATGACCTGACGCCGAGGCTGCTCTGGGGTCACCATGAAGGTGGTGCGCTCCAAAAGCGTGGCGATTCAACAAAACTGCCCCAAACTGGGGCTGAACACAAGTAAACGAAGGTCAAATGTTCTGTTAAAATGGTGAGGGTCAAGAAAGAGAGTCTTATGAACTGGAAAATATTGAGTCACGTTAGAGTTGCATGATTAATCCAGTTGATCTTGCCCTAAATACGGTATCATTAATGGAATCCCTTCATCGCCTTATCATGTGCTACAAACCATGACATCAGCTGATGCCCTTGAAGAACTGGACCTCACAATCTGTTTGGCTGCATTTGCTGCTTTCAAGGGAGGTTTATAGAAAAAAATGGCAAATTTGGAGACCGTATACATTTTCCAGCCACATATAGAATAATCTATAACACAATCAAACCTTCAGTTGTTATGAAAAAAAATGTGGTATATCTGAAAAATAACTTAAAAGAAATTTGACTTTGTAATTTAACAAACTGGGTTTCTGTCTCTTTCCGAATCTACCTTTAGGAAGTCATGAAGTGCATGAAAGAATCAAGACAACACTCCAGGTATGTTTTTGATGAAGAAATACCATCACAACATGATGTAAACCTGAAAATGTCTATTTTTAAAAGAATAGACATTCTGTTATTGTAGATGGAAAAAAGTTTCTGAAATACTCTTGACAAAAAAGGGCATTTCTAAGTTTAAAAAGTTGAACATTTGTCAGAAAAGAACTTCAAAATTACATTTTTTGATTTCATAAATTTTTGAGAAAAAAATTAGAAATTTCTGAGTTTGAAAAATTTTAATTTGCAAGAAAATCCACCAGATATTTTCTAGAAAACTTTTTTTTCTGAAATTCTTGAAAAGTTTTTTAAAACTGAAACTCAGAAATGTGCTTGTTTTACTAGAACATTTCTGAGATCAATCTGAAAATGTCTGTTTTTCTAACAGATTTCTTTCTTTTGGAAGTCAAATTTTTTTTTATTTTGTTTTTACCAGAAAATTTTATAGATTAATCTAAACATTTTTACGTTTTTCCCTAGAAATTTTCAAAGTTTTAAACTCATAAATGTCTTTATTTTCCTAGAAAATTTCTTACGTTACAAATTTGTGAGTCTTTTAGGCGGAAATGTATTTTTATTTTAATCAATAAACAACAATTTTAATCTAAACAACACAGATTGTTTATATTTTTCCCATCAGGAACTTAAATAATGTTTCTATTGTGAATCAGGACCTCCATGGCCATCCAAACTGAACATTACCTGAAATCACTGTAGGGGTGGATGATCCACACCCCAAAGCTCTTGACCCTTTCCTGCTCTGCTGCGACCCCCTTGTGGCTGCCGAACATGCGCAGTGAGAACTTGTTGACGCCGGGCTGCAGCATGGAGCCGAACTGCTTCTGGAAGTACGTGGTCTGATCCTGCAGCAGGTCATCCAGGCCGACCTCGGCCTCCGCGCCCATGTCCAGCGTGCCGTCCGGGTCCGCCGTGTAGTCGTCATTGTGCGTCCTGACCAGAGTGAAGAGAGTCCGGGAAACGTCGCTTCTCTTCTCGGTCTTTGGAGAGGGGGTGCTCGGAGGAGTCGTCCTCTGGGAGCTGCTCCTCCACCTGGAGAAGCGCAGGCTGCTCCAGCTGCGGTACCGGGGCGTCTCCGCCTTGTGAGCCGGGCCTTCTCCGGTTCCCCTCTGATCGTCTATGCTCCTAGAAGGGCTGGTCATTTCTGTGTGGTTTTCACTTAAAACTGCAAAATAAATAAATAAATAAATAAAAATAAAAAATTAATAAAAAAGTTGAAAGTTTTTCTTGAACTTGTCCTGAGATCTAAATGTTTATTAAAACTTCCATTTAGTATTTTGTGTCCAAGTTACAAACTACAAGTGAAAGCCTCAAAGTCATACAATCCTGCTCCGTGAAAAACCACAAACTTGATCCGCGGATGTGTTTTCCTCTTGAATGACCAGGAGAGGATGGATGCAAATTGCCACACAGGACTCAGTGGCCTCAGTGTAATCGGCTTTTTGTCACAGCCTGGCCCACTCAACCCTCTTCCTCCCTCCCACTGGTGGAAGTGGCCTCCCTCCCCTCCTGAGAGGAGAGTCCCACTAACTGGTCTTGTGTTGCACCGTCAACAAGCAAAAAGTCTGAGTGAGTAGGAGCAACAAAAAAAAAACTTAAAATAGAAATTTATCTCTTCACTCACAACTTCTGGTTGACATTAATGAGAAGGACTTAATGTTAAGGCTTCGTTATTTGCACAAATAATCTGCTAATTAAGGCGTTATATTTATGAATGCTGCTTGTAACGTTACGCAGTGAAATAAAAATAACAGCAATATTTAAATTTGTCATACTTTCCCCATGTTATTCATGGTGACACGCAATGTCAGAGTTTCAAACTAAATGTTTAGATTTCAAATTGACGCTAAAGTTTTGCTTGCAAACTAAATTTTTTGTTCTAAACTAAATGTCTAACTCTGAACTAAATATTTAGCTTCCATACTAAATATGTGGTTTACAAACTAAACATTTAGACTGAAATTAAATATTAATTTTTGCCAACGTAATATTTAACGTTTCACATTAAATTTGAAAACAAAAAATGTAGCTCAGACTTAAAAGTTAGTTGGGAACTAAATATCTTGTTTGTAAACTAAATATTTAGTAAATACAGATACTAACAATGCACATGATTGCACAGCGCATGATTTATGGATTTATAGGATCCAAATACAGACTCAGAGACCAGGACACTTTAAAGTATTTGAACGCAGCTGGCTGTTTGGTTTATTTTTAGTAATTTTCCTTTAATATCTTTTTTTTTTTTTTTTACCTCAGAACAATTAGATATTGAAACAAGTCAAAACAAGAAATGATAGTTGCATGTGATTTCAAACAAGTATTTAGAGAAAAAAAAAAAAAAAAATATATATATATATATATATATATATATATATACACACACATACATATATATGTATAGCTTAATGCAAATACCACTTAACAAGAGACATCAAGAAAAATAGACATGATAGTATTTAGTGTCCTTATTCGAACTTTAAGTAACATCCTGAGCAGAACCTTCAGGTTCTTTTTCAATCCCCAATAAATTACTTAATTTAAGTTTTCTTAGAAACAGAAAAGCATGTTTTCTGAAATCTACCAAGACAACACGTGAGATTTTGATTTCGAGATCCTGCACTTGTGTGCGTTAGTGTGTCTGAACGGGATCAGACATAATAAAGTGTGGACTCAAACACAACAGATGTAGGGTTTGAGTCTATGCTTTTTTATCTTCTTATTCTAAATCCTCCATTTAGTAAAGCTCTTCTAAATCTAAAGAAACCTTTCAGAGTAAATACAGGGTTCAGATTTACTAAAGTCACGTTTATTTGACTGCTGCTGTGGCCCAACAGAATCATTGATCATAGATTATTGCGTAACAGTTTTGCTTTGAAAATGTCTCTCATACTGAAGCGGCTCGTCTGGTTCAAATGCAAAAATACTTAAAGTTGAGACAAGTAGCTCAATTTTCAGGCAGTGAAAATGATTTGAGATTTTTAAATGCAGTTTGCAATGGTAAAAACAGTTTTAGATCATCACAAAGCTCGGTGTGAGGTGGCGAGGCAGAACGCTGTAGACCCAGATGAGATGAATGGTCATTTAATGACAAAAATGAGGCACAAAAACATCAAAAAACACGGAGACTGGGAGGACACAGAAACTCAAAATGAACACACAGAAAAACACAGATCGTGACACATTTCTGCGAGTATAAAATGTTTTTTGGAGTTTGTAGTTTCATCTGCTTAACTTCTCTTTAGCTTGAGTTGATTTTGTGGCACAAAATTCCCTGAAAAACAGAACAATTTGTTATTCTTTGGTGTGTAGCTATATTTTCTAAAAACGTTTGATGTGTTTCGCTAAATTGGATCTTACAATGGTTTTTCAGTCTTTGTCACGTATTTGCAGATCGGGCTGGGTGCTGATAGATTCGCATTCAGAGTGATGATCTCTTGTTTCCAGACTTCAGACTCTGCATTAAAGGTCGCTTCAAGAAAAAGGAAGGAAGCGGGTCAGAATTGAGCTGTCGTTCCTGCATTTGACCACATGGTGGCAGAGGAGCAGCAGGTCCTACCTGTGGAACTTTTGAGCGTTTCCTCCAGAGTTGCCACCTCCTCGTTTTTGGTTTTCTGTATGGGAGAAATGACAAATCATGACACGCATTTTTAGAATATATCTTAAATGTTTCGGAACATCACACCACTTTAAATATTGATCAAACACAACATGCAGTTTTTAAATAAAGATGTGTGAAATAATAACACATTTAGTAGCAAGAATCAAGTGTTTTGGATAACTTGTCATGAGTTTTTTCAGCTGTGGAGGAATTTTGGTTCACTCATCTTTACTGAATTGCTGTGATTCAGTGAAAATGGGGGGTTTCTGAGCAAGAATAGCATTTTCAAGGTCCTGCCACAATTTCTCAATAGGTTTGAGGTCAGGACTTTGACTAGGCCACTACAAAGTCTTCATTTTGTTTGGTGTTTTTTTTTTTGGCTCGTTGTCCTGCTGCAGAGCCCTAGTTCATTTCAGTTTGATGTCCCAAGCAGACGGCTGGACATTTTCCTTCAGAAAAAATTGAGACGAGCCTTAATCAATTTTCCATTCAGAAACGCGGAGGTTAATTTAAAAACATTATTCTAGGTTCAAAAAACCCAATGACATCATCATCCAAGCGCCAATAGATGTTTGGGGTGTGGCGTATGTAAACGTGTGAGTCTGAAGAATCCTGCAAAAGAACATTTTCTAAAGACAATTATTTCTGTCATTTTGGGATTTTACACAAATAGAAATATTCTAACCCTGACTCTGAGTGATACAGAGAGGGTAAAACAAAGTTGTGTGTGGGTTTTATAGTGTAAATATAAATATCCGATTTTAGCTGCAGGTCTTGCCATGCTTAAGGTGACCACACTAAATTTCTAAATGAGTGTGAGTGAATGTTGACTTCTATTTTATAAGGTTAAAGTGGTAATTTGTTGATTTAAGAGCCGGATATCTTTTCTGCTGCTGAGAACAAGTTCAATGTCAATCAGGTGTGGACTCTCCTTCCATTTACTTGTTCTGTTAATTACTTTCATGCCACGACTCTTGTATGAATTCAGGTTATGTTTGAAGTACTGAAGGAGTCATAAAACCCAGATCAGGTGGAATGTGATGACTCTGACCAGCAGCACCGGCTCCACGCCCAGCATCAAGATAAAGAGGTGCTGAACAATGGAGACACCACACCGTCTCATCGGAGCAGTTTGTGATCCTGTTTCATGAAGGGTGTGGTGACATTTGATGTGGGGCAGCGCAAGCAAACCAACCACAAACATCAAGGAAATAATTACGAAAAAGAGTCCATTACGCAACCCAGAAACACAGGAGAAAGAAAGTTATGCAGTTATGGAAAACACAAACAAAAGCTTCTATGTATGTTGTCTAGATTACAGCTGGATCCTCGTATTATCTTCTGATGCTTCATGTAAGCTTAACAATATATGCATGAAGCTATTTGCATTTAGAAAGATCGCACCAATGAAAATAGGAAAAAAGGAAATGATAAAAGGTACAGCAGGGATGAGGTGAAAACTATTTAAAATGCTGTTATTTTATATTTCACGCTCCTGTTTCCCATGATTCTTAAAAAGCTAATCGGACCCTCCACCAATCAGTGAAGTCTTAATAAGGCTGGAGACATTATGAAAAAAAAGTACTGATAAAAATAAAAGAATAAAATACTGTTTCTGCAAACCAAGGGCTTAGTCGGTGGCGCTGTTGCCTCGCGGAAAGAAAGTCCAGGTTTTCAATCCAAACCTGGATTTTGCACAAGTTGTTTCAGATTACTCCGACTTCCTCCACTAGCTAAAGTTGTGCATTTTGCAAAACAATAGACTAAGCTGTGAATATCTCACAGGGTTATCCAATTACAGGAGAAATAAAACCATAAATTTACCAAGAATTAAATTGACAGCTTGAAGAAGAAAATCATTTTCAGAAAAATGTGCCAAGAGTAAAAGGTGCAGAACTCCACAGCTTCAGATGAAGGAATCTGTCAACAGGACGACCATTTTGTCATGCACTCTTCATTTCTTTCTGGTCTTCTTGGAATAGTGGCAAAAAAAAGCTTTTGCTAAAATAATTTTATTTGTGAACCCCTTTAAATAACTACAGCTGATATAAAGCACTGCGCATAGCTTCATGCTACAAAAAATTTAGAAAAGAGCTAAAAGTAGCAAGTAAATTTATTTTAATTAAATTAAAGTGCCATTTTTTGCAGCGACTCTGTTAGATGTGGGTGATATGACTCACCACCCAGGACAGCAGTTGGTTGGAGGCGACATGAGAAACAATAAGTTTTTTCTTGTGGGATTTTCCTTCATTGTCTATTTACACCTGTTTACTGTTTAGTACAACTGAAAGTACCAAACACACCCAGAACAAACAGAACCAGCATCCCGTGATAGAGGCTAAACCTCTATGCTCATGTGAATATCCTCCCAAAAAAATGAGGAGACTTTTGTGAATAATTAGGAGTTATGATCTACAAACACTAATCCATGAATAGATTGAGGGCAACTGCATTTCTTAATTTATGTTTTGACCTAAATGTGTATTAAAAAATGCGTTTTTGCATCTTTTGGAAGCAGAAGAACAGACAAGTAAAGTAGAAAGAAACGTCTATTAAAACATTTT